CCCCACTCCACATCCACTCTCTGTCCCTTTACTATTACTATCTCCATCGTTTCCGTTGTTGCTGTTCATTCAATTATCTCTTCTGATCAAATTATTTCTTTTTCCTTTTTGGCTTCTAGATTTCCGATTATTTGGGGAGTTTCTTTGATCATAATAACATCTTTGATAATAATCTTCTGGTGATTTATTGGCTTCTCTCCATTCTTCTTTTCATTAGTCCCCTGATGAGGTTTCTCTTGCTCTTTTGGAGGTTTATCCTAACCTTTTCAGTTATAGTTTCTTTCTGATTAATTACTTTCTTTTCTTTATTGATTTCTCTTCCAATTATTTCATTTTTCAGATTTCTAATTTCTTGGATTAGTTTTTCCTGTTGATTGTTTAGTTATATTATTTGTTGAAATACATTTATCGGAAAGTCGGAAATAGTTTATTGCAATCTGTGGTTTTTTATTGCTTTACAATATAATAAAGGAAGATGTTAAATAGTAAAAAAAAATTAAATTGGAATCATACAAATAAAAGTTCACATATTGGGAAATTTTTTCAATTCTAAATTAATATGATCAAAATACACTTCATACTAGTGGTTGTATCTGCCGAATGATTCACCGATTATCCGGTTAATCGGGGAGCTGAAAATTTTTCATTGATTATTAATTAATCGGTGTTGAAAATTTTCACTGGATAATTGGTTGGTACAGAAATATAAAAAATAAAAAATTTTTTATCCACGTAATTGAAAGAATTACTAATATATTAACATGTAAATACTATTTTATGCACTATTACACCATCACCAACATTCTTTCCATTATAATAACATATCAATTAATACGAATACCAACTGTGTCATTATTATTTAAAGAATATTTATGTAACTTCTACTCCAAATGAGCGTCTACAGCTAAACCTTGTCACAGCGGACTATAATTATAACGGATTTTTAAAAATTTTGCTTCACATTCACATTAAAATATAAAAACATAAAAATCCATTGTGGCAAGATCAGTAAATCTTGCCACAACGGGTTTTAAATAAATCTTCATTCATCCGCTGTGACAAGGTTTGACTGTATTTAGTGAAGCTGGAAACACAATGACAGCCGAACGAATAAATCGAATCCGTTGTTATTTGTATTTCTTAAAAAAAAAAAATGCAATGTATTGAAAATATTTTTCCTGAGGAATAAATAATTATTATAAATCAACGAATATTCAATAGATATTTGGCGGATATTTGGCGGATATTTGGTGAATGACCAATTATCCGAGTGTTGAGTTTTATTGACTGACCGATTATCCGGGTGTTGAGCTTTATTGATTGACCAAGTACTCAAACATCCGGACAATCAACGGATACAACCACTACTTCATACTTCAAGGTCACTTAATAGTTTGGATTTTTGAAAGAAAATGACCTATTTATAAAATTATACACACTTTGGCTCTATATTCCCTCAAGGAAAGCATCAGTTTCTCATTCAAATTACAATATGACGTAGCTCGATAAAGTGAATTTTTGCTATAATGGAGCTTTTTTAGTTTACATTTATAATAAAATCAACCAATAACTTGATAAGACGAATACTATCGGTTTATCGAAGAAACTTTGTATATAAATGATTTACATTAAAAGAAATGTGTTCTAAAAACAATTGAAACCTATGCTAACGAATAAAAAAAGACTTTGCTACTTGTTTTAAAATTCGTTAGAAGTAACATTTTATTATATAAAAGTTAACGAATATATAAATTTTGATGTATAACCTTTTAAACCAAATTTTTTAAAAACAACTTCATTTTTATCAAGGACTACTTAATAAAGTGAATTTTCGAGCCTAAAACAAGTACATCGGTTTAACGAGTTCCGGCTATGTGTCCCACTGCTCTATTTCCTGATCAGAAACACGGAAGAACATAAAGCCAGTCAAATTCCCCATTCAGAACTTTGATATTAAATGAACCAACTTCATTATACTTACTGGACCAACAAATTGTTTGAAGAAAGAGCAAACTTAGGCGGTTTTCCCATATATCCATCTTATTTTTTAAAAATTCAAGATTAAATAAATGCATACTGTATTTGCCCTTTCATCAAGAGCATCACATCACCACAAATAATTCTATTAATAATTGCTGTCAATAGATAAATTTTTTTGTGATCATATATATATATAAAGATCTGATGAATCTTTTAATTAGATTCAATTTATAACATAAAAAAATAATTACATAAATTAAAATTTTGTTTATATAATAAATACAAGAAATTTATAGTTTAAAATCTATTGTCATATCCCATCCAATTTTAGGTCCATATTTTGGCAAAGCTTCTGCTACTGAACTTACATCTTTATCTCCACGACCACTAACACATAACAAAATATCTTGATCTTTTTGCATTTTTGATGCAAGTTCTAATGCATAATAGATGGCATGACTTGTTTCAAGAGCTATATAAAAAGTATAAATATTATTGTTATTATTACTATTAATGATCCTTTAATTATTACCTGGAATAATGCCTTCAAGCTCTGACATTTTTTTGAATCCTATTAAAGCTTCTGTTACATATTGAGCTCGACCTGTATCTTTTAGCCAAGAATTGCTACCACCACCTACAGATGCTAAAATAGCATCAGGTAATTTACCAGCTTTTTGCAACATTTGTTGTTTGGCTTCTTTTCCAATTATTGATTGAAATTCTCGTACAATAGTTGGGAAAGGATGGGGACCAATTGCTGATCCCACAAGGTAATGAGTATTATGAACATTCGTAACCCAATCCCTCATAGCTTCATTAATAGCATCTCTTAAAGTTTTACTACCTAATAATTTTATTTTATTTTTAGGAAAGATTAATTATGATTATTATAAAAATTAAGATTAAAAGCCATCCATATAACAACACATACCAGAATCTACAGATATAACTTTTGCACCTAATAATCTCATTCTAAATACATTTAGAGCCTGTCTTCTAACATCTTCACTGCCCATATAAATAGCACATTCTAATCCAAATTTTGCACAAACAGTTGCTATAGCTACTCCATGTTGACCTGCACCAGTTTCTGCAATGATTCGTTCGGAGCCTTATTCATCATTGTTGCAACATCAATTATAGATGCATTTTGCCATAATTTTACAAAATGTTTTTTCTAGATTCATAATAATAATTACAAAATTCTTTTTTTTTACCAATTTGACTGAATATTGCATAGAATTTTTGACATGAACTAATATCATGTCCACTCAAAGCAACAACTAATTGAGGATTAATTTTTGTTTCAAGTTGATTTTTCAGTTCGCTTAATAATTTATGACAATGTTCATATTCAGAAAAATTATTGAGCTTTTTTCAGCTTCATGAAGGCGTGAACTGGCTTTTTGATAATTGTTTGAAGCAAAAATATTGTTTGCATCTGTCTCCAAATTACTCCAATTTTCTGCTTCTTGTAATACAACATGTGATTCTTCCATGTGTGATTTTACCAAATCTAAGGATTTCAATTGTTCCAACAATGTCTTGCCAGTATCAGTTTCAACATTCTTAACACTATTTCTAACTTTAGTTATATCAATCTTTAAGTTTTTTGTATCCTCTTGCATGACTTGTAAATCAGATAATATTCTTGGCATACTCTTGGTAACATCTTCAATCGTTTTACCTAATCTATGAGAAATTTCTTGAGAAAGGAATTGTAATTTTTCTATAAGAATAGAGACATTATTTTCCATCAGTTGAACTTCATGTTCTTTTGAAACTTCAACAGTTGTTGTTACATAGTTAACACTTGACGAAGTGGCATCATTAATCCATGCTTTTACATTGAAATCTTTTCTAAAAAAGCAGAAAAATTAATTGATTTGGATGTTTGTTGTTCATTCAGATTTTCTATTGACATTTTTTTTTGGAGAAAAAATTTGATGATAAATGTGGGTTTTCACCAAAATTAGAAAATATTTGGGAAATTCGAAATGTGTGACGGCAATTCGTACGATATGAATTTTTCTCTGTTAAAAATAGGTTACTTCCAAAAAACCTCCGACCTGCATTCTGCATTATTTATTTTTATTGTATTCATTGAATAAAAGGGGGAAAATCTTTCAAATATAATAATAACAAAATACATAAAGATATTGCCAATAACTGAACTAGATTGGCACCATTAACCGTTTAAAATTAACCAGTTAGTTAAATTTAACTGGTTATCGACATTGGTGTTACAAATTTTCATCCAACTAGAATACATATCGGATATAGAAGTAAATACAAATACCAAAACCATAACATATTTATAATTAGTGATGTTAGCTGGCTAATAATCTGCATGCATAATTTCTAAATTTGGTAATAGATTTCTGCGTTACTTTCTTGTTATAGAAATCAAATTACCAATTTAGGTAGTAAAGGCTTAGCCGGCTAAGGATTTTTAAACGGCTAACATCACTATTTATAATGATGGAATAAACGTGGATAATGCTGCCGCCTCTAGAGTTTCCTACTGTTCCAGAGAGTATCAATCTTTACTTTTTTCTTTGGATGGACTTGGGTGGGGCTTATGACTAAGTATTTATTCGTAATACAATTCTTATTCGAATAATAATAATACTAATACTAATACAACTCGAATTTATTCATTTTATTCGCTATTCGTTTATTCATTTTATTTGAATTATTCATAATACAACCCGATCTTAGTTCAAATTATTTGTAAACATTCAATGTAATTGATAATGAATAAAACATTCAATGTAATTGATAATGAATAAAACAATCAATTCTTATTTGAATGGAAGCCATACTATGACTATTTGCTAGTAGGAAAAAAATTTCACGCGATTGAATTAACCATTTAACTGGTTAAAGAATTTTTGCGCAGTGACTAAATTATAAATTCCAAGCAATGAATTATTTATAGAATGAGGGTTTTATTGTGGATTGAATACAGTGCATATTCAAGTAATCTTGATATCAAATCAATATTAGTTAGGTATGTCACAATGCAATCTTTGAAATTTTGGTGCGAAGTTTTATTCTATTTTAGGTAGTGATATATAATTTATTAACTGATTCATATTAGAAAATAAAGAGGATTTTTCTTGTATTGTATCAAAATCATTGCAATAAAAAGGATTATGTATTAACTTTATTGGCACTATAAATATGCAAATGATTATCTTCTCCACCACTTAGAATTAAATCTTGATCCCAGTCAATACATAAAATTTTTTTTTCTGATATTGATGAATCTGATTTTTGTTGAAAAGTGTATAAAGGTGTCTTGCTACGAATATCCCAAATTTTTAAAGTAGAATCAAATGATCCACTAGCCAACATAAATTGTGATATTGGTGACCATGATACACAAGATACCCAACTTTTATGTGAATCAAGTGTCAATTTAACAATAGCTGTATCTGTACATCCAATATACAAATATATTTATTATTTGTCAGTAAGTGATAAAAATGACTTTTTTTAACAGATAGATTACTTATTTATTTACCTTCTGCACGTGGATCCCATAATCTAAGTAGATGATCAGAATGCCCAGATGCAATTAGACCAGAAAGTTTGGAATATTCAATATCATAAACTACTTTATCACAATTCTAAAAAAATGAAAATGATCAAGTTCAGAATTCATCCAATTAATCCAATATTAATTTGTTTTGTTTAAATTTACCTTTGTATCTGTATTAACTCTAGACTCTATATCCCAAATTCTTATTGAATGGTCCCAGCCACCACTATATAATTTTCCTGTATCTTTAGAATCAAATACTACTGATGATATAGGCCCAACATGGCCACTTAGTGCAGCTAATGGAGTCTACTACCATAAGAACAATTATTATTAAAATTGAAATTTTCTACATTTCCTATTTAATGATTTAATAATTAATATTCATCATGCCTTTATCTTTTTATTTTTATTGATTTTTCTACGTTTTACTGTGCTTTCCATTTGATAATCAATACCTTCTTGATCATCTGAGTTTGGTTCTTTAGTTGTCCATAACATAATTTTTGAATCCCAAGATGCACTGGCAAACTAAATGTATGTGTTAAAATTACTTCAAAAAATTGATGTTTATTTATTTATCTATTAAAATTTATATGTACTCACCTCTGTACATGATGGACTAACTGCAACACTTTCTATGCTATTTTTATGTCCTTTACATTCATATAAAATTTCATGTTTCTCCTCAACATCATCATTATCAAACAATACCTAGATTTTCGATAAAATAATAAAATAAAATAAAACAACTGAATAGTAATAAATATATATATTAGATAAAACAAACCTTCCAGGCATGAATGGTATGATCTTGTGATGCAGACAAAATTATACCCTCATCATCTTTTTTTTTTTGATAAAAATTAATAGAATTTTATTTATGCTTATTTTGATTGAAATAATAATATAGTAATACCTATAACTGAAACCCATGCAACACTCTTTATTGGTGCTTTATGACCTTTTAATGTTTTCACACATATTCCAGAAGTATTCCAAATATGAACATGATTATCATAAGAGCCAGTTAAAAAAAATCTTGAAAAAAATTACTTTTTAATCAATTAAACAGCACTCATGAACTTTATTAGTTCCTTTTTTTTTTTTAAAGTAGCAAAAATTACCGTTTATTGTAACCTTTTACTGAACTGACCCAATCATCATGTTCATATGTGGATAATGATTTTGGTGGTAGCATAGATTCAACATATTCAATATCTATTATATTTTCCTAGAGTAATAAAATAATAATAATATTATTTATTGATCATTAGTAATAATATTGAAAAGGAAAAATTCATTCATTCAAATAGAATTTTTTTTTACAGATGATATTCCATTATTTTGTAAATATTCAGATAAACTTGTTCTTAAAAATTGGTTATCAACCATAAAATCAAAAGGTACTGGTTTATCTAAAAAATATCATATCATAAAAAAAAAAAATATAAATAAGATTAATTTATGATCAAAGGCAAACTGTATTCATTATTTACCAAAGCCAAGCAAATGATTAATTATTTCAGAAAGACCATATCGACGTAATTTAGTCGGAACTAGTATTGCAGATTCAGTAACTGCATATTGTTGTTGTTTGGTTGTGAAATGAACTTGAACTTGTGCTTCTTTGTCTTCCATTTTATCTAAAAAAATTTATAAGTAGATCATTGAAAAAATCTCGCATCTCAAATTTTTTTTTAGGGTGTACAGTCAAACCTCGATAAGCCGAACTTTACTCACGTACGAGCATATCATGTGATTTATGACAATTTTTTTATTGGTTGATCAATTGTAATGTTAAATTCGTCAAAAAAATTTTCATGAAATACTTTTATTGAAAATTAAAAGGACAATGGCATATTGTTTTTTAAATATAATCTGAACTTGTCACTGAGTGATATAAAGTTCATCATGTAATCTTTCAAAGCTTTAACCATTGGAATAAAAATATGTATTGTGGAATTAACTATTGTATATACTTGAAGATGTGATTATGTTTTTAATACTAATATTGATTATTTTGAATTTATAATATAGTTAAAAAGAATGTAGAGGTAATTTTTCTTATTTCATAGAAAAAAAAAATTAGAAATCACGGAATATGTATTTATACTATAATACACGTACTAATAATAATAACAATAATCATGTACCAGATAATATAATAAAAAAGGGTTTAACATGATAATCAGGTTTTTCTGATAATGAAGTAGTATTACGACCTGGTAATTTGTTAATTATAGTAATAGTAATAGTAATAGGGTTAATGGCTTAATATTATACAAAATAATATTTTATCACCTCAGAAAATTATCGTTCCTGGTACATTGTACCTTTGTATGTACGCACATACATATGTACGATGTAAAATTTCCTTGTACAAGGTGTATATTTTCTTCAAATGGGTAAGACTGTCCATTTTGTTTTAAATTAATAAATACTAATTTCAATTTCCAAACTCGCGGGAGAATGAAGAATCATCATCATCATCACCTTTAGATATTGATGAACTTATAAGGAAATGGTGAATGAAAAAATTTTAAATTGTCATCCAAAATAAGTTTGCAGAGGGTATGTTATTCGAACATGGAAAATTTTAAATTATGAAAGGTTAATTTCTGAGATTTGTATGTAGTTGATTTCTTGTGTACATGTTCTGATTTTACAAATTTGTTCATTAATTTACAGTAATACATAGTAATAGCTTTATTATTGGCTCTGGGGATAAAAAAACACAAAAAATTATTTGATGATGAGGACTCTATAACATATTGAGAGTTTAAGCCCGATTTATATGTCTCATAAATCACTACTATTACTATTACTGTCTAGAACCGATTCTCTCTATAATGGACATTTTTTCATAAGCCAATGGTCTGTTATAGAGAGAGTAAACTGTATATATACAATTACTCATAAATATCATCCGAATTACAAATTGACAATAATCTCATGGACCATCCCTCTATAATTGACATTTTTTCGTAAGCCAAATGGTCCATTATAGAGAAAGTGAACTGCATATAATTATTCATAATTTATCATCTGAATTACAAATTGATAACAACCTAATGGACCATCTAATTAAATATAGTGAGATAAATATTATTCAAGTCCAATAAGAAATGCGTATAAATCAGAGCTTTTCTCTTTTATCCTTTAGTTTGAGGCTTCTCATATGCGTGAAATGATCAATACTGGATTGAATAAAGGTTATGGTGCCAAAAAACATTACAACTACCACTATTTTCATCAAGTCTTGTGAGTATTTGGATGTGTATCGAGTAAATATTATCAAAATCTTTCAACTAATGATTTTTTTGCCGATACTAGTTACATCTGAAAGATTTTACAAATTTGCACTTAGAAGGTTGGTGGCGTATGAGTAATTATTGGAGTTTTATTGTCCATTTGTGCTTTGTTGAAGTTTTGAATTTGTAATTCATCCGGTAAAAGATTGTTATCTTTATATTTTCTTAATCTTTCATTTATTTCTACATCCTTCTTATATATATATATATAAAATTTATCTTTCAGCGTAGAAGGATGTCCAAGAGCATCCAACGAGAGAAATAACCGTGATTAAAACAATACAAATGCAAACTAGTAGTTCGGGTGAAGATGCGATGGTACGAGCTGAGAATTAGGTTCAATAGAAGAATATGTTTTAAATGAGGAGGGAAGAGTTTGGGAGGGAGTGATAACAATTAAAATACCTCTCAGACAGAAGTTTAAAAATGCCAAAGAAATTCTGATCGCTAAAGTATGTTTTTCATAATAATAAATTGCAACATGTATGTCAGCTTAAATTTATGATTTTAGAATAAGGCGATTATCGGAACAACTGAATAATGAAGTTTAACGGGTGATGACAATTTTAAACCGACGGTAAAAAAATTTATTTTTATTTATAATAAAATTTCTTTGATGTAGTTACATCTTAAAGATATATACTTTACACTCTTTAAAATTATTAGTTGTTTGTGTTTATCGCTTAATTATAATAAATAATATTTGATATAATTTTCAGGAATATGATTTTCTCATGTTTGATTTTCGTTCATTTTAAAAGTGGAATCTGGACCAGTCATAAATTACTTTGATTGTTAATAATATAAGATTTATTGATCATAACAGATTTTTTATTTTAGAATTAAAGAAAAATATTGAAGCAAAAGTTTTGGACACCTAAATGTATTGATTACGCAAAAATACACATACAAGGTTCCATGTAAAATTTTGTTTCTGGATTCCAAATGCACAAATAACTTTTGGTCCCTTAATTTTTAATATGCACCTTTTTTTTAATTCAAAATCTCCCTCCATTTAATATTAAGGAATAATCAATCTTATTCATTTTATAATAATAATAATTTTTAAGGGTTAGGGAAGGGATATCAGCATTATATTTAGAGACGTTAATTAATTGCCATCAAAATAGGAATTGAAACACAAACTTTTTATTATTAAGAAATTTATAAATAATGTCGAATTTGGTAAATATTTTTATTTTTATTTAATTTGATATTATAAATCTCTAACTGATCAATTAACTCATGGCAAGAAATTAGGATTATGTATTTTGCAACAGCCCGAGATGTGAGAAATTTGTCATCAGAAGTAATTTCTGTGAATAGTTACAACAATAAAAATAATATAACATCTCTTCAAGAAATTATAAATATGTTTGCAATTAATATGGAATGTGTTGATTGATGACGTTAATAAGAGTGCGGTTAAATCTAGTGAAGTTGCAATAATTCCACCTGTTTCTGGTGGGTAATTAATTAAATATTCTACTAGTAAAAATACAAAAAGTTAAAATGAATGTGAATAGGGACTTATTTAAATAATTTTATTTTAAATTATTTTGTTTTTCTTGTTTTTGATTTAAAGGCATTTTGTCTTTTTGATTTCACTAAAAATTTGGCTTTCTTTTTTGGTCTTTTTTTCTCTCCATTATTACCATTATCTCTCCCACCATCATCATCACCATCTAAATTTGGCTGGGAAATGTAAATAATAAAATTGAATAATATCAGTGAATAATAATAATGATAATAATAAATAAAAGCATTGTTATATATATATATATATATTATTTATTTTCAATGATAATTTTACCTTTCTTTTTAAATTATTTTTAATATTTTTCATATTCTTTTTTATATTTTGATTGGTATTACTACTAATATCCTTATTATTAGCATTAGCATTATCATAATCATCATAATGGCTATTGTTGTTATGAATTGATTTTTTTGATTTTTCGATTCTTCTCTCTCTTTTTTTAATAATTAAATTATTTTCAATAGAGAATTCCACTGTTAACCTTTTACCATCACCATATATTTCAGGATTATTGTTTAAATATCTTAAAATAGCCAATGCATGTGAATGATATGTGGTTTCAATAAATCCATAACCTTTTGGTTTTGGCTTTTGTGTCTTTGGATCTATTCTATCTTTGGATCTAATTATTTTAGCCTGCACAGGAAGAGTAACAGTAGATTAATATAACCTATTAGTATAATAGGTAATACATGATATTTATAATATAAATAGCTTACTTGTATAATGTGTACTTTTTTATTCCATCCTTCACTCTTCTCACCAGCTGATAAATCTTCTCGTTCATCATTTTTGACTTCATTTTTAAATTTCTGAATACTGTTTATTGCCAATTCTTTTAATTGCCTTTCGTCAACTGTTAATGGTAGATTACGAATTGATAATCTTGTCTTAGATATGTAAAGATTTGGATTCTTGGTTAATAGATTTTTTCTATATGTAAACGAATCAAATCGCTTATTAAATTCTGATTTTGGTAAATTTTTAGCTGCAAATGTATCAGGAAATATAACTATTTAAACATTGATCAAATAAAATATTAATCATTAGTATTGTGATTGTGATTACGATCACGATTAAGGGTATTTTGGAAAAAAGATATATATTAAAAAATTATTATTATTTGATATTAACCTCCTTCTTTCATTAAATAAAGATTTCTTTTATCTTGACTTTGCCTCTTAACTTTGTTATTTTCCATTAACTTCTTTGCCTCAGTTCTATCAACAGCTTTAACAATTGATAAAACCCTTCCTTGTAAAGTGAATTTTTGTACTTTAGAATCAGAAGGATCTGGAGTAAGAATTGATTTATGATAAGTCAATTCTTTTTTCTTATTTGCATCCCCCCTCCTTTGATTCTTTTGATTATTATTATTATCCTCATTATGATTATTTTGAAAATCTTTCATCATTTTCTGCACATCCAATAAACAATTATTCGCATCTTGTGTTTCTTTGAAATTAACAAAGCCCGTGCCTCTTGAATGTCCAGTTTCTTTATCTCTTGTTATAACACAATAAACCAATTCTCCGTATGGAAGAAATCTAACATATAAAATATATAAATAATATTATAAACATAATGAATAATATTAACATTATTAAATACATTTCGCTTAATTCTTCTTCTGTGGCATCAAAAGACAAATTTCTAATGAATAAAACATTTTCGTATGTTTGAGTATTAGCTTCGTTTTTAGAATCTTTACTCATTTTTAAATTTTTTTTTTAGATGGGAGGAGGAGGATCTATTCCAAATTATTTACTTAAATTCTTGATTATTATTGGTTAACAAGTAAACCTATCAATAAGACCTACAGTGCGCGAAAAAAGTAATGAGAATGACATTTTTATTCATTGCACGACAAGAAAAGGTTAAAGTGTATAAAATTTTACAGATATACTGTCAATGATACGATAAATAAGTTTACTTAAGTACTCAATAGTTTATCTTATTACCATTACTTGCAATTACATCCTCCAATCTTACGAACTAAATTAACAAAAATTTCAGTTTTGATTCCTTCCCACTCTTTCTGAATTATCTCAAGGAAACAATTTGTAGTAACTGGTTTTTTTTAAACTAATAATTTGTTGACTTCTTTCTCCACACGACCCTTTAAAATTGCCCATAAATTTTCTATTGGGTTAATATCTGGACTATTGGATGGCCATTCCATTATCTTTGGACATCATTGCACAAGAAGTTCCTGGTTTCCTTAGCTTTATGCTTCGGATCATTATCCTGCTGGAACAACCAATTTTTTCCCATGATGGTATTTGCATTGTCAAAGAGATTTTCAGTTAAAATCTTACGGTAAAGGGCACTATTCATAACATCCGTAAAAAGAAAGAAGTCAACTGGACCTTTTACTGAAAAGGCACCCCACGCATGAATTTTATATAAGTATTTTACCATATTTTTACTTGGAGGCTGTATGCCGACCTTATAAAACACCTTTTGAGTATTTCGGAACGTAGTTTAATCAGAAAAAATAACCTTGTTCCAGTTTTGTTTCTTGTATTTTACGGCAAATGTTACTCGATTTTGTTTGTGACTGGCTGTAAGAAGAGGGATAGATTTTGCAACTATACTGCGATATTGCATGTTATGAAGCTCATTGAGAACTGTCCGATTACTGACATTTAGATCAGGATGATGAGCATTTAAAATATTTGTGAGTTCAGTGCTTGTAGAGAATTTATTTGCTGAGATGAGTTGACCGAGATGACGACGTTGTTTAGGAAAAAATTTCTTTGGCCTGCCTGATCGGGGTAGAGGGTCCAAAGGAATATCATCTTTGAGATTTTTGATGTATTTGTATATAGTGGAAAGTGGAATAGAAGTCAAATCATGAAAAGTATCGGCATCACGAGTTCCAGCCTCCCACAAAGATTATAACGTTGTTTAAATGAAGTTTCGGTCATGATGTATGGAAGATAAAATTAGAAAATACATACAAAAATCAAAACAAATTATAATCACATTTATCTAATAACATTGTTAAACCTGTGATATAACCTGTTTTTTTAACTGGTTGAATATGGTGAAGAAAATCGAGTTTTATTATGATCTATTATATTTATAGTAAAAATACAAAAAGTTAAAATGAATGTGAATAGGGACTTATTTAAATAATTTTATTTTAAATTATTTTGTTTTTCTTGTTTTTGATTTAAAGGCATTTTGTCTTTTTGATTTCACTAAAAATTTGGCTTTCTTTTTTGGTCTTTTTTTCTCTCCATTATTACCATTATCTCTCCCACCATCATCATCACCATCTAAATTTGGCTGGGAAATGTAAATAATAAAATTGAATAATATCAGTGAATAATAATAATGATAATAATAAATAAAAGCATTGTTATATATATATATATATATTATTTATTTTCAATGATAATTTTACCTTTCTTTTTAAATTATTTTTAATATTTTTCATATTCTTTTTTATATTTTGATTGGTATTACTACTAATATCCTTATTATTAGCATTAGCATTATCATAATCATCATAATGGCTATTGTTGTTATGAATTGATTTTTTTGATTTTTCGATTCTTCTCTCTCTTTTTTTAATAATTAAATTATTTTCAATAGAGAATTCCACTGTTAACCTTTTACCATCACCATATATTTCAGGATTATTGTTTAAATATCTTAAAATAGCCAATGCATGTGAATGATATGTGGTTTCAATAAATCCATAACCTTTTGGTTTTGGCTTTTGTGTCTTTGGATCTATTCTATCTTTGGATCTAATTATTTTAGCCTGCACAGGAAGAGTAACAGTAGATTAATATAACCTATTAGTATAATAGGTAATACATGATATTTATAATATAAATAGCTTACTTGTATAATGTGTACTTTTTTATTCCATCCTTCACTCTTCTCACCAGCTGATAAATCTTCTCGTTCATCATTTTTGACTTCATTTTTAAATTTCTGAATACTGTTTATTGCCAATTCTTTTAATTGCCTTTCGTCAACTGTTAATGGTAGATTACGAATTGATAATCTTGTCTTAGATATGTAAAGATTTGGATTCTTGGTTAATAGATTTTTTCTATATGTAAACGAATCAAATCGCTTATTAAATTCTGATTTTGGTAAATTTTTAGCTGCAAATGTATCAGGAAATATAACTATTTAAACATTGATCAAATAAAATATTAATCATTAGTATTGTGATTGTGATTACGATCACGATTAAGGGTATTTTGGAAAAAAGATATATATTAAAAAATTATTATTATTTGATATTAACCTCCTTCTTTCATTAAATAAAGATTTCTTTTATCTTGACTTTGCCTCTTAACTTTGTTATTTTCCATTAACTTCTTTGCCTCAGTTCTATCAACAGCTTTAACAATTGATAAAACCCTTCCTTGTAAAGTGAATTTTTGTACTTTAGAATCAGAAGGATCTGGAGTAAGAATTGATTTATGATAAGTCAATTCTTTTTTCTTATTTGCATCCCCCCTCCTTTGATTCTTTTGATTATTATTATTATCCTCATTATGATTATTTTGAAAATCTTTCATCATTTTCTGCACATCCAATAAACAATTATTCGCATCTTGTGTTTCTTTGAAATTAACAAAGCCCGTGCCTCTTGAATGTCCAGTTTCTTTATCTCTTGTTATAACACAATAAACCAATTCTCCGTATGGAAGAAATCTAACATATAAAATATATAAATAATATTATAAACATAATGAATAATATTAACATTATTAAATACATTTCGCTTAATTCTTCTTCTGTGGCATCAAAAGACAAATTTCTAATGAATAAAACATTTTCGTATGTTTGAGTATTAGCTTCGTTTTTAGAATCTTTACTCATTTTTAAATTTTTTTTTTAGATGGGAGGAGGAGGATCTATTCCAAATTATTTACTTAAATTCTTGATTATTATTGGTTAACAAGTAAACCTATCAATAAGACCTACAGTGCGCGAAAAAAGTAATGAGAATGACATTTTTATTCATTGCACGACAAGAAAAGGTTAAAGTGTATAAAATTTTACAGATATACTGTCAATGATACGATAAATAAGTTTACTTAAGTACTCAATAGTTTATCTTATTACCATTACTTGCAATTACATCCTCCAATCTTACGAACTAAATTAACAAAAATTTCAGTTTTGATTCCTTCCCACTCTTTCTGAATTATCTCAAGGAAACAATTTGTAGTAACTGGTTTTTTTTAAACTAATAATTTGTTGACTTCTTTCTCCACACGACCCTTTAAAATTGCCCATAAATTTTCTATTGGGTTAATATCTGGACTATTGGATGGCCATTCCATTATCTTTGGACATCATTGCACAAGAAGTTCCTGGTTTCCTTAGCTTTATGCTTCGGATCATTATCCTGCTGGAACAACCAATTTTTTCCCATGATGGTATTTGCATTGTCAAAGAGATTTTCAGTTAAAATCTTACGGTAAAGGGCACTATTCATAACATCCGTAAAAAGAAAGAAGTCAACTGGACCTTTTACTGAAAAGGCACCCCACGCATGAATTTTATATAAGTATTTTACCATATTTTTACTTGGAGGCTGTATGCCGACCTTATAAAACACCTTTTGAGTATTTCGGAACGTAGTTTAATCAGAAAAAATAACCTTGTTCCAGTTTTGTTTCTTGTATTTTACGGCAAATGTTACTCGATTTTGTTTGTGACTGGCTGTAAGAAGAGGGATAGATTTTGCAACTATACTGCGATATTGCATGTTATGAAGCTCATTGAGAACTGTCCGATTACTGACATTTAGATCAGGATGATGAGCATTTAAAATATTTGTGAGTTCAGTGCTTGTAGAGAATTTATTTGCTGAGATGAGTTGACCGAGATGACGACGTTGTTTAGGAAAAAATTTCTTTGGCCTGCCTGATCGGGGTAGAGGGTCCAAAGGAATATCATCTTTGAGATTTTTGATGTATTTGTATATAGTGGAAAGTGGAATAGAAGTCAAATCATGAAAAGTATCGGCATCACGAGTTCCAGCCTCCCACAAAGATTATAACGTTGTTTAAATGAAGTTTCGGTCATGATGTATGGAAGATAAAATTAGAAAATACATACAAAAATCAAAACAAATTATAATCACATTTATCTAATAACATTGTTAAACCTGTGATATAACCTGTTTTTTTAACTGGTTGAATATGGTGAAGAAAATCGAGTTTTATTATGATCTATTATATTTATAGCTAATTGTGGCTTCATAAAAAGTCACCATCGCTGCTACTGCCACTAGTTAAACACATCCTATCACAATAAAAATGGTCAATAAGTCCCTTATAAGTTGATCAGGTCTCTTTCCATGTGCAAAAAAAAAGTTCCTTACGTTACAGGTAGCATTAACATCTTGATTCCAATGTGTCAGACAGACTGATTTGCTGACTTTGACAGACCAGAATTTTTGATGCTTATCAAAACTAACTATCACACAAAGAACGGATTGAACTCGTCAATGTTCAGCACTAAATTTTGATTTCCGAAATATTTAGAATTTGTAATATCCGTATTTCAAACCTGTATTAAAAACCATCCAATAAAAATACATTACCATTATAACTACAGCCGTACCGCAATTTGGGTATTGTCCGGGTAAATTTTGTAGGGTCCCGTCTGTTTTGGATAAAACAACTGCCGTTCGAATTCTCTTGATGAGGTAAGTCTAAGTTTGCTTGCTGAAACCTCTTAGTGACTGTCCAAAACTCTAATGAACAATTATATATACCTTGTCAAAACTTTGACGATTGACAAAACCTCCAATGTGAAACTCTGCCAAAACTCTAATAAACTCTGTTGATTGATTTCTGGGGGAGTTTCACCCACAACCTTAGGTGAGTCTAATTAAATTTGGATCACTGGTTTTAAAGATAAATGGGGTATGCTGCAACAGAACCAGTCAAAGTGAACATTGGTATTACCAAAAATTTCAGGGTCAATAGCAGTGTTGGCAATGACAGTTATTTAACTTTTGAACTGTCAGCTAAATAACTGGTTCAAAAGTTAAATAACCAGTTCAAAAAATCATTTGAACTTGTGAACTTTGGTTCAATGACATAATTGATTGATTTATGTGCACAGAGCACATTGTCTAACCAATTTTGAAAATTATCTGCAAATAATTATAGATAATATGCACAAGTTTATTTCTATATCTTTTTATTGTAAAATATTCATATCAAATTAACCGAAAAGCATATAATAGTTGTGGTTTTGATAATCAAGAAGAAGTAATGGCTAAGAAGTTAGATAATCCTGAATATTGCCCTATAGCTCCAGTTCTTCCATCATATAAGCCAAAGGTAAGTGATGAGATTCAGGATCTTTTCGATTCTATATCTATTATTAACAATATTACTTCAGAACATGTTGAGCATAAAATTTCTGACTCATCTAGTAATGTGATTGATGAAAAAGATTTACCTTTAGAAATGCCAGCCAATAATCAATCTGCTGGTCTTTCCCAAGATAGATGCCATGTTGATACTATTAATGAAGCAGTATAGTTGAGAAAAAAATACCCAAATCCTTGATTCCTCTATCTTCAGAATTTCTTATTAAAAATGAATCGGATATAGACACCCTTACCCTTCTTTTACAGCAAAAATTCCAAATGTCTCAAGAAAAGCTAGAACAATGGAGAACCAAGATTGCCTTTGAAATGTGAGATAACCAAAATTACTGGAAAAAAGAGCGTGAGAGTATGAATGAAGCCGAGTTCTTGGAATACAAGTGAAATTAGTAAAAATACAAAAAGTTAAAATGAATGTGAATAGGGACTTATTTAAATAATTTTATTTTAAATTATTTTGTTTTTCTTGTTTTTGATTTAAAGGCATTTTGTCTTTTTGATTTCACTAAAAATTTGGCTTTCTTTTTTGGTCTTTTTTTCTCTCCATTATTACCATTATCTCTCCCACCATCATCATCACCATCTAAATTTGGCTGGGAAATGTAAATAATAAAATTGAATAATATCAGTGAATAATAATAATGATAATAATAAATAAAAGCATTGTTATATATATATATATATATTATTTATTTTCAATGATAATTTTACCTTTCTTTTTAAATTATTTTTAATATTTTTCATATTCTTTTTTATATTTTGATTGGTATTACTACTAATATCCTTATTATTAGCATTAGCATTATCATAATCATCATAATGGCTATTGTTGTTATGAATTGATTTTTTTGATTTTTCGATTCTTCTCTCTCTTTTTTTAATAATTAAATTATTTTCAATAGAGAATTCCACTGTTAACCTTTTACCATCACCATATATTTCAGGATTATTGTTTAAATATCTTAAAATAGCCAATGCATGTGAATGATATGTGGTTTCAATAAATCCATAACCTTTTGGTTTTGGCTTTTGTGTCTTTGGATCTATTCTATCTTTGGATCTAATTATTTTAGCCTGCACAGGAAGAGTAACAGTAGATTAATATAACCTATTAGTATAATAGGTAATACATGATATTTATAATATAAATAGCTTACTTGTATAATGTGTACTTTTTTATTCCATCCTTCACTCTTCTCACCAGCTGATAAATCTTCTCGTTCATCATTTTTGACTTCATTTTTAAATTTCTGAATACTGTTTATTGCCAATTCTTTTAATTGCCTTTCGTCAACTGTTAATGGTAGATTACGAATTGATAATCTTGTCTTAGATATGTAAAGATTTGGATTCTTGGTTAATAGATTTTTTCTATATGTAAACGAATCAAATCGCTTATTAAATTCTGATTTTGGTAAATTTTTAGCTGCAAATGTATCAGGAAATATAACTATTTAAACATTGATCAAATAAAATATTAATCATTAGTATTGTGATTGTGATTACGATCACGATTAAGGGTATTTTGGAAAAAAGATATATATTAAAAAATTATTATTATTTGATATTAACCTCCTTCTTTCATTAAATAAAGATTTCTTTTATCTTGACTTTGCCTCTTAACTTTGTTATTTTCCATTAACTTCTTTGCCTCAGTTCTATCAACAGCTTTAACAATTGATAAAACCCTTCCTTGTAAAGTGAATTTTTGTACTTTAGAATCAGAAGGATCTGGAGTAAGAATTGATTTATGATAAGTCAATTCTTTTTTCTTATTTGCATCCCCCCTCCTTTGATTCTTTTGATTATTATTATTATCCTCATTATGATTATTTTGAAAATCTTTCATCATTTTCTGCACATCCAATAAACAATTATTCGCATCTTGTGTTTCTTTGAAATTAACAAAGCCCGTGCCTCTTGAATGTCCAGTTTCTTTATCTCTTGTTATAACACAATAAACCAATTCTCCGTATGGAAGAAATCTAACATATAAAATATATAAATAATATTATAAACATAATGAATAATATTAACATTATTAAATACATTTCGCTTAATTCTTCTTCTGTGGCATCAAAAGACAAATTTCTAATGAATAAAACATTTTCGTATGTTTGAGTATTAGCTTCGTTTTTAGAATCTTTACTCATTTTTAAATTTTTTTTTTAGATGGGAGGAGGAGGATCTATTCCAAATTATTTACTTAAATTCTTGATTATTATTGGTTAACAAGTAAACCTATCAATAAGACCTACAGTGCGCGAAAAAAGTAATGAGAATGACATTTTTATTCATTGCACGACAAGAAAAGGTTAAAGTGTATAAAATTTTACAGATATACTGTCAATGATACGATAAATAAGTTTACTTAAGTACTCAATAGTTTATCTTATTACCATTACTTGCAATTACATCCTCCAATCTTACGAACTAAATTAACAAAAATTTCAGTTTTGATTCCTTCCCACTCTTTCTGAATTATCTCAAGGAAACAATTTGTAGTAACTGGTTTTTTTTAAACTAATAATTTGTTGACTTCTTTCTCCACACGACCCTTTAAAATTGCCCATAAATTTTCTATTGGGTTAATATCTGGACTATTGGATGGCCATTCCATTATCTTTGGACATCATTGCACAAGAAGTTCCTGGTTTCCTTAGCTTTATGCTTCGGATCATTATCCTGCTGGAACAACCAATTTTTTCCCATGATGGTATTTGCATTGTCAAAGAGATTTTCAGTTAAAATCTTACGGTAAAGGGCACTATTCATAACATCCGTAAAAAGAAAGAAGTCAACTGGACCTTTTACTGAAAAGGCACCCCACGCATGAATTTTATATAAGTATTTTACCATATTTTTACTTGGAGGCTGTATGCCGACCTTATAAAACACCTTTTGAGTATTTCGGAACGTAGTTTAATCAGAAAAAATAACCTTGTTCCAGTTTTGTTTCTTGTATTTTACGGCAAATGTTACTCGATTTTGTTTGTGACTGGCTGTAAGAAGAGGGATAGATTTTGCAACTATACTGCGATATTGCATGTTATGAAGCTCATTGAGAACTGTCCGATTACTGACATTTAGATCAGGATGATGAGCATTTAAAATATTTGTGAGTTCAGTGCTTGTAGAGAATTTATTTGCTGAGATGAGTTGACCGAGATGACGACGTTGTTTAGGAAAAAATTTCTTTGGCCTGCCTGATCGGGGTAGAGGGTCCAAAGGAATATCATCTTTGAGATTTTTGATGTATTTGTATATAGTGGAAAGTGGAATAGAAGTCAAATCATGAAAAGTATCGGCATCACGAGTTCCAGCCTCCCACAAAGATTATAACGTTGTTTAAATGAAGTTTCGGTCATGATGTATGGAAGATAAAATTAGAAAATACATACAAAAATCAAAACAAATTATAATCACATTTATCTAATAACATTGTTAAACCTGTGATATAACCTGTTTTTTTAACTGGTTGAATATGGTGAAGAAAATCGAGTTTTATTATGATCTATTATATTTATAGCTAATTGTGGCTTCATAAAAAGTCACCATCGCTGCTACTGCCACTAGTTAAACACATCCTATCACAATAAAAATGGTCAATAAGTCCCTTATAAGTTGATCAGGTCTCTTTCCATGTGCAAAAAAAAAGTTCCTTACGTTACAGGTAGCATTAACATCTTGATTCCAATGTGTCAGACAGACTGATTTGCTGACTTTGACAGACCAGAATTTTTGATGCTTATCAAAACTAACTATCACACAAAGAACGGATTGAACTCGTCAATGTTCAGCACTAAATTTTGATTTCCGAAATATTTAGAATTTGTAATATCCGTATTTCAAACCTGTATTAAAAACCATCCAATAAAAATACATTACCATTATAACTACAGCCGTACCGCAATTTGGGTATTGTCCGGGTAAATTTTGTAGGGTCCCGTCTGTTTTGGATAAAACAACTGCCGTTCGAATTCTCTTGATGAGGTAAGTCTAAGTTTGCTTGCTGAAACCTCTTAGTGACTGTCCAAAACTCTAATGAACAATTATATATACCTTGTCAAAACTTTGACGATTGACAAAACCTCCAATGTGAAACTCTGCCAAAACTCTAATAAACTCTGTTGATTGATTTCTGGGGGAGTTTCACCCACAACCTTAGGTGAGTCTAATTAAATTTGGATCACTGGTTTTAAAGATAAATGGGGTATGCTGCAACAGAACCAGTCAAAGTGAACATTGGTATTACCAAAAATTTCAGGGTCAATAGCAGTGTTGGCAATGACAGTTATTTAACTTTTGAACTGTCAGCTAAATAACTGGTTCAAAAGTTAAATAACCAGTTCAAAAAATCATTTGAACTTGTGAACTTTGGTTCAATGACATAATTGATTGATTTATGTGCACAGAGCACATTGTCTAACCAATTTTGAAAATTATCTGCAAATAATTATAGATAATATGCACAAGTTTATTTCTATATCTTTTTATTGTAAAATATGATTTCCTCTAAGCTGTTCCTGTGTACAGAATTGATAAAGTTTTAAACCAAGGTGTAAATAAACATTGTTCTTTCCTAAAATCAAAGTTATTAACTCTGGATCCAGAAAACAGTACATATAATAATAATATTTGATACTGTTTTCCATATTTGTAATGAACTTTATCAAATAACTAGTAGGTCACAATATATATATATTGCAACCTACTTATGTTAGACTGTTACCTACTTATGATTAGACTGCTACCTACTTATTTTATAGCTACTCATTTTGAACTCTAATAAGCTTGTTATTTGCTTCCTTTTAATGATTTGATGATATGTAGATCGCATTTGTATTGCCATTTAAGAGCCACTGAGACATGTGCCAGTGTGGCATGCGTTTTGCTTTTGTCTCGTTATTCGAGTGACAAGCGTTTTGCGTTTGCTTCGTCAAAGATGAGATGTTTATAGTATGCTCATCAGGTGATGTGTAGATTGCATTTGTATCGTCATCCGAGAGTTATCAGGATATGCAGGTGACTTGATGTGCGATTTCTATTTTTCACGTCACTCAAATGACGATTGTAGCAAATTTTTGTCGTCACCCATATGCCATATAATGTATGCCAGTTTGGTAATCATGGCCGATTTCTGTCATTGGGTCACATGAGCAAAAAAATATGCTGACGATGCATTCAGTCGTGTGTCATTGGGGTGTTACAAATTATAATAAACACAAACATAGTTGAGCACACATAAAAAATCATATGTGCGGATTTTTCGCCGATCAATATATGTAAATTTTTTCAATATGAAAATTCAAACT